CAGCAAATGAGCCTGATGCAATATGTCATTTGCTTTCTCAACTGCTGCTTCCATGAGTGTTCATAGTGGATCCAAGCAAATGAAATCCTTGACCACTTCAATCTTTTCTCCATTTATCATGATGTTATTTATTGGTCTAATGGTGAAGATTTTTGTTTTCTTTACACTGAAGTGCAATCCATACCAAAAGCTGTGGTCTTTGATCTTCATCGGTAAATATTTGAAGTCTGTTTCATTTTCAACAAACAAGGTTGTATCATCTGCATATCGCAGGTTGTTAATGAGTCTTCCTCAAATCTTGATTCCATGTTCTTCTTCATATTATCCAGCTTCTCAAAGTATTTGCTCAGTTTATAGAGTGAATAAGTATGGTGAAAGAATACAACCCTGGAGCACACGTTTCCTGATCTTAAGCCATTCAGTGTCCGCTTGCTCTCTTTGAATGACTATTTCTTGTTCTATGTACAGGTTCCTCATGAGCATAAGTAAGTGTGCCGGAATACTCATTCTCCACAATGTTGTCCATACCTTGTCATGATTCACACTGTCAAAAGCCTTTGCACAGTCAATAAAGCACTTTCTGGTGTTCTGTGCTTTGGGCCGAGATCCATCTGACATTAGCAATGATATCCAATTTGAACCTCTGGAAGTTCCCTGTCGATGTACTCTTGCAGCCGTATTTGCATTATCTTGAGCAAAATTTTACTTGCATGTGATATTAGTGATATTGTTCAATGGTGTCTGCATTCTGTTGGGTCACCTCTCTTTGGAATGGGCACAAATATGGATCCCTTCCAATCAGTTGGCCAGGTAGCTGTCTTGCAGATTTCTTGGCATAGATGAATGAGTACCTCCAGTGCTGCATCAGTTTGTTGACAGATTTCAATTTGTATTTCATCTATTCTCAGAGTCTTATTCTTTGCGAATGCCTTCCGTGTATCTTGGACTTCCTCTTTCAGCACCATTGGCTCTTGATCATATGCTAGCCCTTGAAATGGTTGAACATCAACCATTTCTTTTTGGTACAGTGGCTCTGTATATTCCTTCCATCTTCTTTTGATATTTTCTGCATCATTCAACAATTTTCCCATTTGTTGTTGCTTTTGTAAAGTGCCATTGAGTTGGTTCAAACTCATAGCAACCCTGTGTAGGGTTTCCAAGAAACAGCTGGTGACTTTGAATCATTGACCCTTGTTTCAAAACAACTTTGTGGGCCAGTGCTCTATCCCACAGCACCACATAAGGATAAAACCCTGTAACAACATCACAAGTTGAGACTTGAATTTTTTCTTCATGTCTTTCAGCTTGAGAAATGCTAAGCATGTTCTTCCTTTTTCTACTTCCAGGTCTTAGTACATTTCATTATAATACTTGATTTTGTCTTCTAGAGCTGCCCCTTGAAATTTTTGTTGAGCTCTATTTTCCATTTTTCTATTTGCTTCAGCATGTCTATGCTGGAAAGCAAGTTTCAACGTCTCTTCTGACATCCATTTTGGTCTTTTCCTTCTTTCTTGTCTTCAATAACCTTTTGCTATTTTCTTGTGTTCTTGATATCATCCCACAAGTCTTCTGGTCTTCAGTCATTAATGTCTAATGTACCCAATCTGTTCTTGAGATGGTCTCTAAATTTAGGTGGAATATGTTGTTCAAGGTTATATTTTGGCTCTCATAGACTTGTTTTCATTTTCTTCAGCTTCAGCCTGAACTTGCATATAAGCAATTGATTGTCCATTCCATAGTCTGTCTCTGGCCTGGTTTTGGCAGATGATATGGAGTTTTTCCATCGTTTTTTTCCACAGATGTAGTCAATCTAATTTCTGTGCATTCCATCTGGTGAGTTACATATATATAGTTGTATTTTATGTTGTCTAAAACAGGTATTCACAATGAATAATTCATTGGTCTTGCAAAATTCAATCATCGTTTCTATCTCCAGCATCGTTTCTATTACCAAGGCTATATTTTCTAACTCTTTGTTTCCAACCTTCTCATTCTAATCACCAGTAATTATCAATAATCTTTATTTCATGTTTGATTAATTTCAGACTGAAGAAGTTGGTAGAATTCTTCAGTTTCATCACCATTGGTTTTAGTGGTTGGTATGTTAATTTGAATAATAGTGGTATTATTAGCGGGTCTTCCTTATAGGCATACGGATATTATCCTATCACAGACAGCATTATATATCAGTATAGATCTTGAAATATTCTTTTTATGATGAATGTGCAGCTATTTGTCATTCCTGATATAGTAAACCATATGATTGTCAGATTCAAAATGGCCAATACCAGGTCTATTTCATTTCACTAATACCTAAGATATTGATCCATTGTTTCATTTTTTTTTTTTATGACTTCTAGTTTTCCTAGATTCATACTTTGTACATTCCATGTTCTGATTATTAATGGATGTTTACAGCTGTTTCACCTCATTTTGAGTTGTGCCCCATCAACAAAAGAAGGTTTCGAAAGCTTTACTCCATTTCTGCTATCACAGTCAACTCTACTGAGAGGAGGCACCTCTTCCCAGTCTTGTTTTGAGTACCTTCCAACCTGAGTGGTTCATCATCCAGCACTATATCTGACGGTATTCTGGTGCCATTCATCATGTTTCAATATTCAATATTCTGGTGCTTTCTGACAGTGTTCTGACTGCCATGTAGGGAGAGGTAAGAGTAGGGAGGGCGCAAGCAGGCAGAGCCGTGGTGTAATGGAGTGGACAGATTCGTACAGGGATCATAGTGGGCAGAACTTAGTAGTGGGTTGAGTGTGGTGGGTGAGAGAAAGAGGAGAGTCAAGGATGAGTTCTAGGCTTGAGGTTTAAGAACTGGGAGAGAGAAACTTGGGGAGAAACTGGCAGTGGGAGCTATAGTGACAAGGCTGGTGGGAGTAGAGGAATCCAGAGTGCCATGTTGAATATTTTATGCTTGAGGTACTTGTTGGAGAACCATGCGAATGTGTCGAGTAGGTGGGACACCCAAGGGAGAAGTCTGAGTAGAGATAGAGACTTGGCACCAGCAAAGTTCTAAAATAAGTAAGAGGCCTGGGGCAGGACCCCACAGAAACCCTTTGGAAACTGGTGAATATTGTAGACCCTTTCTCAAAATAATATTTTTAAATGCATAAAGTAAAAGCATAAGAACACACAACAATCTGGTCACTGTAACCATACATGAATTCCTGGGTGGTGCAAGTTCCTTGAGAGACTCTGACCTACTTATCCCAGGTCCTGTTGCCTCTGTGTTTTCTGCGTCTGGTTCTCATACTCGAGCTGCGTCAGAGTTTGCAAACCCACTGCTCACTGTCATTGACTCTGATTCCAGCTCATAGCGACCCAACAGAATCTCCTAAAGGGCTTGTTAAAACAGAATGCTGGGTGCTAACCAGAGTGTCTGATCCAGAGATATGGGTTGAAACCTAGAAATGTGCATTTCTAACAAGTTCCCAAATGTACCATACTTTGAGAGTGACTACTCATAGTTACTGTTCCTCAGAAACCCTATACAGTGTTGTTATGAGTCAGAACCAACGCACAGCACTTACAACTGTAATCAATACTCATCCCTCATTCACATGCGCCCTCTCCTGGATTTGACCCTTCCCTACAATGGAACATAGAGTCCTGATGTGGCACTGTAGAATAACACTGCGAACTCAAAGTTGGCTGGAACCCCAAGGTCAGTGGTTCAGACTCATTAGCTGCTCCTCAGGAACCCTATACAGGGTCGCTATGAGTCAGAACTGACTCAAAGGCACTTTACAACAACAATAGAACATGCTCCTTCAAAAGCAACCCAGGGATGGGAACTGACAGTTGAGATGAAGGAGGGAAGAAGACATACAGGAAAAAGTGACCCAAGCCTGGCTCTCTGCCCCATACCACCTTGAGCCTGTTCTCTTCAGGTCACCATCTCTCCTTGGGGAACACTCATGGTCTTCCCAGGGGCCTTGGAAGCTGCCCAGTCTGACCTCCTTGGAGACTGAGCAGAGGTAGAGGAGGTACTCTCTGCAATGAGCTTTGAGAACAACAAACACACTGTTCCCCACCTTCACAACTTGATCCTGGTTTCTCACCTGACCAATTAATTCCTGCTCTTGGGGAAAAATTCAGAGATGTCAAAGAGATCAACACTAGCATGTCAGACCCCAGAACATCAGAACTTGGAGAACGACTTTGTTGGGTGGATGAAGAAGCTGGGGACCAGGATATAGACAGTACAGGTTCGTGAATGAACTTGCAAACTCTCATACAGGGAAAGAGGTGTCTGTCTGGCTCAGCCCTAGGAAACTGAGCAGAGGGCATGAATTTGAGACTGAGTTCTAATACTTGCTGCTTCCTGCTTTCTATCAATTCATCGAATAAATAGATATTGATCACCAACTCGATGGCATTTAACAAGTAAGCACCAATCATTGTACTAGTTACAGAGGTAAACTGGTGAACATTACCAAATCTCTGGATCCATGAAATTGACATTCTAGAGGGTATGATACAATAAACAGAAAAAAAACTGTACTATAAAGTCAGGGAGTGGGATGCAGTATGAAGAGACAAGAAGGAGCCAGCCATGCAGATATCTGGGGAAGAATGTTGTTCCAGGCAGAGGAAGTAGCATGTGCAAAGGCCCTGAAGTAGGTCCATGCTTGTTGTGTTGAAAGAATGTCATAGAGCAGAGTGACAGAGAGAGAAGGGAGGAAATCAGACTGGTGACCAGGCTGGGTCATGTAAGAACCTGTAGCTAAGGTGAGGACTGACTTTTCCTCTGAGTGAGAAGAACTTGAACTTGACTTAGATTTACGGTCTCCCTCTGGCGCCAAGTGAAGGAAGTGTGGAAGGCAGAGAACCCATGGAAGAGGCTGCTGGAATAGTCCAGGTGAGAGGTAATAGCGACCAGACCTGGTTTGTTCTAAGGAAGAAGGCCCTTTCCTGATGACCCTTCCATGGAGCTATGTGAAAGGACCAGCCCCTGCAGGTGACACCAGCTCATGGTCTCCCCACAGCTTGAGAGGTACATCCAGATGAACTTGAAGCCGGAGCTAACACAGGCTCAGCAACACATGGTCCAGAACCAAACTGCCACCGTGCTTGAGCTGGGCTCCAACCTTTTGAACCAGACCACCACCCAGGCCCACAAGCTGACCAATGTGGAGGCTCAGGTACGGAGCGGGAGCTGTGGGAAGTCAGGTGGGCCGGGCCAACTCACAGCCCAGGTCTTAGTTCAGTCATTAATAATGATGGAACCCTAGTGGTGCAACCTTTAAGCCCTCAGCTGCTAAACAAAATGTTGGTGGTTCAAACCTACCAGTGGTTCTGCAGGAGGAAGACCTGGCAATTTGCTCCTATAAAGATTACAACCTAGAAAGTATTGTGGGCAGTTCTAGTCTGCCACACGGGTGTCTATGAGTCAAAATTGACTTCACAACACCTAATGCTGTCCTGGTACGGTGCTGTAGGATAAGCACTGGGCCACAAGATTGATTTGAACTGCAAGATTGGTGGTTCAAATCTACCAGCCATTATTCCAGATCGCTATAAGTCGGAACCAACTGTACAACAATATAACAAGACTTAGAGGGCCAAAGGCTCAGAGACAGGAGGCAGCAGGAAAAAGAGAGGGAGAGAGTGAGGACACATGATTAAACGGGAGGGTTGGGAAGTGAATGGATAACAACGCATGACAAGTGGTCATTTATTTATTGAACACGTGCTGCATGCCAGGCACTGTTAGAGATGCCTGGTTCTAGTTTGCAGCAGTCAACAAAGCAGGCACAAATTCCTGTCTCTGTGGAGCCTCGTTTCTAATGGAGGACTAAATAGATGAGTAAGATAAAGTAAGCAATATGGCAGATTGTGCTAGTGTGAAGGAGAAAAAGAAGATGGGGAAGAAAGATGGGGGAGGGGTGTATTGGGAAACACAGACAGTGAGGTTTCGAATTTTAACACCGAGGCCCAGAAGGCATCACCCAGAAGAAAGTGTTAGAGCTAGGCATCCTGGGGGCAGACTGTTTCAAACAGGGAGAAGAGCAAAGTGCAAAAGTAGGATGTGCTGGCCAGCTTCGGGGACACAGAGGAGCCCCGTATGGCTGGAGCAAGCAAGTTGGGAGAGTGATGGGTGGTGAGTCAGATCACAGGGCCTTGCAGGCTAAGGTGAGGACTACAGCTTTGCCACAGGAGGATTCTAAGCAGAGGTGGGACATTTTTAAAGGCTGCCCCCAGGCAGGGGATGAAATGTCAGGGTCCAGGGTAGGAACAGAGAGCTGTGTGAGGACCCTGGCACAGGATGCCAGGGCCAGGATGGGAGCTGTGGACAGGGAGGAAGTGATCAGATATCTACTGGGAAGGTAGAACTGATTGGATTGCTGAAGGAATGGATGAGGGTAGGGAGAACGGCAGGACAGCTGGAGGAGCCATTTGTGGAGATGGGGAAGCTAGGCAAGAGCAAGTTAGGGATCAAGCAATTCATAAACTCAGTTACAACCTGTCCACAGGTGTGGTGATGGTGTGCCGTGGAGTCGGTTCCAACTCACAGCGACCCTGCATAGGGTTTCTGAGGCTGTAAATCTTCACGAGAGCAGAAAGCCTCATCTTCCTCCAACAAAACAGCTGGTAGTTTCGAACTGCTGATCAGGAGATTAGCAGCCTGACTCGTGAACACTATGCTTGCTACCAGAGCTTCTTGGAATTAACGATAGGATAGGGGAAAGAGGTCAGTCAGCTTGTGGAACATCAGGGCCCATGGTAGGCTGCTGGTGTGGACTGAGCTCCTACAAGGCTTATTTGGCCCCCACCCACTTGCTTGCTGGCCCAGGTCCTGAACCAGACGTCTCGCATGAAGGCCCAGCTGCTGGAGGCCTCACTGTCCACAAACAAGCTGGAGAAGCAATTGCTGTTGCAGGGCATTGAGCTCCACCAGCTGCAAACCCGAAACAGGTGGGCACTGGCAGGGAGCAAGGAGGGGCTGGGGTCAGAACCAAGGGGGCCAGGATTGGGGACTAGACTTGGGCTGGAGTCTGGGTCTGAGTCTAGGGGCTTGGATTAGGACGGGGACAGGGACCATTTGAGGATCTAGAGCTAGGCCTAGAAGTGGGGACTAGGCCAGGGCTGGGATAAGGGTTGTGACCAAGGTGGAAGTGCAGACTGAAGCGAGGAGGGAGGGTGGGCATGGACACTAGGCTGGGACTAGGTAACAGCAAGATCTGCATTTCCTGCATCGGGACAGGATACAAGACAGATAATTAACTTCTTAGTGCTCAAGACACCCTGCTTCTTTCTTTGTTTCCTTCTTTCATTCTTTCTGACTGTATTTTGCAAATCGTAACTGCTTAGTTGAGAAATGAGGGAGAAAGATGAGCTTTGTCTTCTCCCACAAAAGATTTTAAAAGCCATGGAAACCCTACACAGGGTCTCTGTGACCTGAAACTGTGTCCATGACCTGAAACTGACTCCATGGACACTTAACAACCACAACAAATTGAGATATACTTCACATGCCCTACAATTCACCTTGTCAATTTCAATTTGATGTACTTCTTTGTAAATAACCAAATCTGCTTCTATCCACCTTATTCCCATCCCAGAAGTAATGGCAGTGACCATTTTCTTGTCTGTAGACCAGAGAAGGTATCTGCATTTATGAACCAATATGCAAGGAGGAAACACCCTTCAAATTACAAAGAAAGAGTCATGGGGTATAGATAAGGCAGAGAAATCTGACACCCGAGACTGATTTCATCCGGGTTTCAAGCTCAATAGAGAAGAAACTGCTAAGGTCAGGTTACTGGAGGGGACAAAACCTACACACTGAAGGAGCCACCAGCTTGTCAACAGAGCAGATGTTACTGCACTTCAGCTCATGCTGGGTCAGGATAAGGCCATGGGGATCGCTGGTTCCTTCTGATCTGGGTGAAGTTAATGACAGTTTGTGCAGGTTAAGATATTTTCATTCACTCAGAATTGGTACCAGGTGCCTTGTTGTTGCTGTTAAGTACTGTCGAGTTGATTTCTACTCATAAAGACCTTGTATAGGGTTTCTAAGGAGCAGCTGGTGAGTTTGAACCACCTACCTTGTAGTTCAAACCAACCTTGTGGTCCTGTGCCTATCCTACAGCACCATACCAGGACTTCACTAGGTGCCTAGAAATGGGCAAAGCTGACACCATTATAAACTCTTGGCACATGGAGACACCTTGAATTCTAGAATCCGAATGTGCTCAAGTTCTCTTTCTTCCTGTAGCATAATTTGGAGTCCAGGAAAAATTCCTTCTGCCCTGGTTAGCTTTACTTGAATAATCTGAGGAATAACCTGTGGCACGGGCAGTAAAACCTGTGAAAGGTGGAAACGTGTCAGAAAAGGATATGCCAAATATTTTCCACTGATAGCGATAGAAAAGTGCTAAGAGTACACCTTGTCAAAGGTGGAAACTTTCAAGACCTGGAAAAAGCAAGACAGTTCTATAGAGCTCTTATTCTCACAGTTTATTAATATAAACATCTCCCTTCAACCCTGTTCCTCACTCCAGGGGTTCATTTCCTCTCCTTCTCACACTGTACCAAATATAGAAGTGATTGTGTTGGGCAGGCCTGCCAGCCTGTGAAAGCCTGGGCAGGATGTTTTCTCTCTCTGAGCTTCAGCGCTATTCTGTACTACTGAGTCGCCTGAGACCCCGGGGAAAGCACGAGGGTATGAATGCCAGGCTGGACTGTGGCTTATACCGATACGGGCTTACCCCTGTTGACCACCACCCCACAGCGCGCTGGAGACACGGGTGTTGACCCTGGAGACTCAACAACAGGCCGAGCTGGACGACATCCGCGATGAGAAGGAGCGGCTACAGCACCTACTAGGCCGCCAGAGTGGCGCCCTCGCGGGCCTGGAGCGCAGCCTGCGCGCCGCCAGCAGCAACTCCAGCCTCCTGCAGCGCCAACAGCGCCAGCTGCTGGAGTCGGTGCAACGCCTGGTGCAGGTCGTTGCCCAGGGCCCCGGTGAGCGAGCTGTGCGTGCCTGGGTGTGTGAGTCTGGGGTGATGGAGGGCGTACCTGCTTACCCTTTCTGTTCACTCAGTGGCTGGAACCCACAAAGAGATAGCTCCACCCCACTCTGACCTCAGTCTCCCCAACTGGTAGATAGAAATCACAAGAGTAATAATGGTGACAGCAACAAGAGCCCATCTAAACTAAGGTCCAGTTGCCATTCCATGGTGACCTTGGGCATGCTCCTATCCCTCTCTGGGCCACGTTTCCCCATCTGGAAGTGATAGCAAGGACACCAACTCAGACTTGCAAGTTTGAATTTCAAGAGCCACCCTCCAGCCCCGCATGCCTGGGCTCACCCAACTTCCCCCTCTGCCTCAGTTTTCTTCCCTGTAGAAAGGGGAGGTTGAACTCAATGCTTCCTAAGAACTTCTCCCACTCGAAAGTCCTCTGCCCCTAGGCCTAGAGAGCTAAACCAAAAAGGGGTATGGAGACAGCCATAGCCCTAGCTTCTGAGAAGAGAGAACAATGCCTAGTCCAGCGCCCCAGATCCCATTGATTCCTTCTAATGGGACCCACTTGGAATGGGGATAGAATTTTAATTACTTTAACAAACATTTATTGAGCATCCACCATGTACCAAGACCAGTGTTGGGTGCTGGGTCTCCCCTTTCGCAAAAATGCTCAATCCTGGGTCTGTGGGTCTTGAAGGAAGAAGAAGGATATGCATGTTTGTTAAGTGCTTGCTGTGTGCCAGATTCTTTTTTTTTTTCTTAAATGTTTTATTGTGAATTATTGTGATATTCATTGTGAATTTTATTGTGATAGTTTACATGGGAGAACATTAGTTTTATATTCATTCTATCATATATCATCTCATTGCCATGGTTACAATCCCCTCTATGCATCATCAACCAACCAAAGGGTATACCCTGCAAGCCTGCCCCCCACAACCCCCCAGTCTTCAGCACACAGTCCCTCTCCCTCTCTAGATCTAAAGTCCCCAGCTGCTCCATCGCTCCATGTCATCATCTCTGCCTCGTGTGCCAGATTCTTGAAGCTTCCAGACCATGGATGGCTTAAAAGACTGTGCTTAGGAGAAAAGAAGACTTTAACCTAAGGGCAGTAAGGAGCCAGAAATAGGCTTTGAATAGAACGAGATTATATTTTAGGAAGTTCCATTTGGAACCAAAGTGCAGAATGACTTGTATGCAAGCAAGAGACCTAGGAAGGGGTTCGTACTGCTGCTGGATCTCCATAGGGGAGGCTGGAAACCCTTTAAGGTGCAAAGGCATCAAGCACTAGTGGTGGGATTCCAGGCACTATGGCAGTCAAGGATTAAGGGGAGAGGAACTTTCATGACTCCTATGATTTGAGGACCAAAGAAGCCATGGGTAGACTGAAGGTAGATGCCCTCCAAGCCCACTACCAGCTTGTGTATAGCCCTGGAAATGAGGCCACCAAGATGAATCCCATGTGTGGGTTTTTATGGCTCAACCCAAGGCACCAAGCCTTTCAGGCACCCCTCCCCACAGCCACACCACGAGCCCAATCTCCAGCTGTGGCCAAATATATGCTCACCAGCCTAGATGCGAGGCTATGTCAGGTACCTGGTCTTGGGCACCCTTGCCCAATTGCTCCTCCCTCCTGCCCCACGGTTGTCAAAGAAGGTCACTAAGGAGTCTGCTTCTTCTTGCTCTCTAAATGCAGGTCCTGAAGGAGAGGACCAGGCCCAGGGTGGACAGTAGAGGGCAGAAAGAGATGGGTGTAGGAACTGGTGTTCTTGGAGCCCAGCAGGAAATGAGAACCCTCTCTTTGTAGAATTTTGTCCTGCAGGTGGCAATTGGCAAGGAGTTGAGAAGAACATCAAGGCTCCAGCCATTAGGGAGTTTGGTTCAGAGAAGGCTAGGAGAGAGGCACAGGTGGAAAAGGCCTGCCCCATGCACAGAAGAAGCAGCATTCATCAACGTAGTCTGTGTGCCCAGTCGTATTTAGGCTCAGCCATGGACCCCAGAGAAGGCACTTTGCAGTCAGACACCCCAGAGCTCACGTCTTGGCTACATGACTTAACTTCTCAGATCCTCAGTTTTCCTATTCTATAAAATGGGAATCGCATATGCAAACGTTCCAAGGTTAAAGGTCCTGGTGTGTACGAGAGAGCAGGGTGCAGGGAAGGGAACTGAGGCTGAGCCCACAAAAGCAGAGAGAACTGTGTATGAAGTACAATTCTACCTACTTTGAAGAGGATCAGGTATACCCATGTATATGAAGGGGCTCAACACTGTGCTGAGGGTCAAAAGGGAGTAAAACGGGTACAAATTAGTAGTCCAGAGATTTAGAAGGGGCCCCGCCTGGTGTCCAACTATGTTGCATATCAACACCAGTCCTTACATTTATTATGCCTCCAGAAAATATCCGCTGGCTCCAAACTGCCCCTGAGAGTACTTGGCATCAAAGGAACCCTACAATACACGGTAAGCATTTCATTTGTATTGTTATTGCTGTTACCAGCATTATTGTCAACTCAACAGCAATTAACAACAACAACAACACAAGAAGGAAAACAGTGGACAGAGCCTTGGGAAGAGTGGCTGGAATCTGAGGCCAACTCCCAGTTCCGCCCTTGCCTCACTGTATAAATTTGGACCCACCCTGCTCACCGAGCCTGCACTTTTCCCATATTTGTCTGGATTGCCATTCCTCATGAATTGGGTGGAACTGGAAGGGACTGGAGGAGGCAGCTCGTTAAAAAAAAAGAAGAATGTGTATATACGGTCTGGGATGGATTTGGGAGCCTCAGTAACCTCATTAGTGATATGAGAACAATATACTACTTTCTATGGCCCCCAGCTCTAAGATCCAGTTCCAAACAGCAAGTCCTATTCCCTGGTAAGCCTCCTGGTTCCTCATTGGTGAAAATATCTCTCTGTATGACTTCTGAGCCTTACTTTGGATGCTCACCTACCTAGAGAGATTGGATTCTGGTCAAATCCCAACTCAAAACCTCTAGTTGGATCCCACTGAAGTGGGCAGAGAGGGGATTTTCAATCCTTACAGTTTGTCTACAGTTACTTTTCCTGGGCCAGGTCCAGAGGCCTCAGGGCCTTGGTGGGTTTCAGTCCTTATATCAGCACTCTTCTGATCTCATTTGGATTGAGGACAAGCCTTTCAAGGCCAATATTTGATTTCCGGGAAGGGTGAAATGAGGGGTTCACTCCCAGAGTTGAAAGGGATCCAGCTGGTGGATAGCTGTGGGGAGGAGCCCCACACCTCCCAACTAATGACGACCTGAAGGAGAGAACCCGGCCCCATGAGACCTGGAGAGAGGAAAGACTCTGTCCTACCTAGCTGGGTACCCTTGGCCAGCCACCTCACTCTTGAGCCTCAGTTTCCACATTTGTGAAATGGGGAAGTAAAAGGGGGCTTCAAAAAGTTCATGGAAGATGGAGTTGAACGATAATGTAATTTGTCCACAAACTTTTTGAAGCCCCCTCATACTTCATTAGCACTCAGGTCCCAATTAGTTGCTCCCAGAAACACTAGCAATGCAGCCTCCTCCTTGGTCATCCCCTTCAGTTGTTGTTGTCGTTGTTATGTGCCGTGGAGTCAGTACCAACTCATAGCCACCCTACACAGAATTTCCGAGGCTGTAAATCTTTACAGGAGCAGACCGCCTCATCTTTCTCCCATGGAACTGCTGGTAGTTTCCAACTACTGACCTTGTAGCTCGCAGCCCGATTCGTAACCACTATGCTACCAGAGCTCCTACATTACCCGCTCCATACTCCAAGATCACACAAAGTGATCTTCCTCAAGACAGACATTCTAGAGTCGGCAGCCTGACACTCAAGGCCAAGCTGGCCCCTGCTGAACCTTTAGCTTCACTTCTCTTCTTCCCGTTCCTCTTCCTGTCAGCCTCACTCAGCCCTCTCAGGCTCACCAGATGGCAGAGTTCTCTCTGACCTCAACTCTGCTTTCATGGTCTCAGCCACAGTTCCCTGCCCTGTGCCCTGCTCTCTAATACACACCAGGACCCGCCCCACTTGAGGGCTTTGCACACGCTATTCCTTCTACCGGAAACTCAGCCTTTTCTCCACCTGGCCAATTCCTGCCATTTTCCAGGTCCCATGCCACCTCCTCCAGGAAGCCTTCTCAGATCAGATTCTACCTCTTCCAGGAAGCCTTCTCAAATCAGATTCCTCTCTATCCCCACCACCTTTTAACCTAGACCCTGACACACAGGAGTGTCCTCCTGGCTCCTATCCCTTGATCCTCAACTGCCTTTTGTTTTGTCCCACAGCATCTGCCATAAAGGCAGCAGAGCAGATGTTCCAGGACTGTGCAGAGATCCAGCGCTCCGGGGCCAATGCCAGTGGTACCTACACCATCCATGTAGCCAATGTGACAAAGCCCAGGAAGGTTAGGGGTTCCTCTGGGGGCTGAGAGGGTACTGAGCCAAGGACTTTCTAGACAGATTCCCCCCACCACCATCAGCTTCAGATATGTCCGTTCCTCCCAAGGTACCAGAGAAGGTGGGAATGGCCTCTGCCTGCTTGAACCTTCACCCAATTGGGTCAAGGAAAATTCCTAATGTTGGAAGTTCATCTTTCACTTCCCCTGGGATGCCTTTAGGTGGATATTTTCTATGTTGGTTCAGGTAATGCTAGTTGATATAACAAACAGACTCTGAAATTCCATGGTTCCCAGGAGCTCTAGTAGCATAGTAGTTACGAGTCGGACTGCTAATCTTAAATCAGAAGTTCAAAACTACCAGTGTTTCTGTGGGAGAAAGATAAGACTTTTTGCTCCTGTCAAGATTTACAGCCTCAGAAACCCTGTACAGGGTTGCTATGAGTCGGAACCAACTCCACGGCACACCACTTCCTCTCCCACATAGAGTCCCATATTAAAGTGAAGACAGCTCTATATGGGAAATTAGGGCATGGGATTGATGGAACTCTTTAATGACTCATTCCCAAGGGCACCTTGAGCTACAAGGTCCAGTCATGAGCTGGGAAAGGGATAGAAGGGAGAGTATGGATGGTCAGCAGGGAAGTTTTGGGGGCCAGGCACAAAAGCAGAAGAGTATGGGGGACAACTAGCCAGTCTACCCCCTCCATAAACCCCTTTTAAGTTTCTTCCCAGTGCTTTTGATTACATCAAGGAGAAATGTTCAGTTTGGTTCTGGCTTCTCTTTAGCCTTTCTCACCACCTGCTGCAAACATCTTAACAAGGAGGGGTCCAACCTAGGGCACTTTACTGGCAACAATTTCAAGCAAGGCTTTCACAGCATTAATTTGTTTTCATTACATTTATTTTTACATTCCTCTGAATAAAGTCACATGTCACTAGTTTTTCTCTTATGGCACTGATATGCTTTCATTTTAAAATATGTTTTATTTAGGTATTTATGTAAGTAACAAAAACGTCCCCATGTTTTAAAGTAAATATGCTGAGTAAATTCTGCTGCTGTGGATATTAGAAAGGGGTAAGCAAATGAAACTTAGGAAAGACTCGCTGATAGAGAGGAAAGAGCTGGCCTAGGAGATGAGATCTAGGCTCAAGTTTCAGCTTGGCTGTAGGGGCTTGAGCCAGTCCCTTTCTCTGTCTAGACCTCAACTTCCCTCCTGACACCCCCACAGAAGATGCCACTTGTCTTTTGTCTTCTGGAGCAGGCTGTTTTCAACTCAGACCCTCCGCTTTGCTGTTCCCTCCACTGGAAATGCCATTCCCAGTCAGCTCTACCTGGCAGGCACATCATCATCCAAGGCCTTTGTGTCTTTTCCAATACTACCTCCTCTAGGGAGCCTTCCAGATTTGCCTAGTGACACCTTCTTGGGGACTCTGTAAGTGACCAAATGTTCATAGTCTGCCTCCCTATCATAGCTTGCCACCACTACCACCACCACCAAACCAGCCCCATGGATTGATTTGTCTCTGATTCATCTAGTATAGGCTGGGGTACCAAGTCCCAGCTCACTGAACATGAATTGAACTGGCTGGAAAAACAATACGAATAGGTGAACAGAGGTTAGATTGCAAGATATAATTGTGGTGAATGGAGCTTTGAAGGAACTTTGTCTTATCCATATTCCTTGTGCTTCAAAGAGCCTGACACATAGTAAGTACTTAGAAGATACTTGTCCTCTGAATGACAGTAGTAATGGCATTTCCTGAGTCTACACTGTTGTGTAGCTACACTTTACACCTATCATTTAATCCTTATGTGGTTGTTGCTAAGTGCCATCTGCAAGCTGGGGTTGTTGGGAGAATTAGAAGAAGAAGTCATGTAAAGTGTTGAGGACAGAGACTGGCACATACTAAGTAGTCAGTAAATGAAAGCTTCTCAATTACTATTGTTGTTGTTGTTGTTAAGTGCCACTGAGTCAGTTCCAACTTATAGCAGCTCTGTTTGAACCACTGACCTTGCTATTTACAGGTCAATCTGCAGGTTATCCTACAGAGTCACACCAGAAATTCAATTTAATCCTTATAGCAGCCTGTAATGCTAGCAATGGAGTCCTGGTATGGCACTATAGGATAAGCACAAGACTACTAACCACAAGGTTAGTGGTTCAAACCCATGAGCCACTCCTCAGAAACCCTATACAGGGTCGCTATGAGTTGGAACCAACTCAGTGGCACTACACAAAAACAACAAAAAAAATAATAGCAAGTGAAAAGTTTTCATTTACTGAGTACTTAGTATGTGCCAGTCTCTGTTCTAAACACTTTACATGACTTACTTCTTCTAATTCTTCCAACAACACCAGTTGGCAGATGAGAAACTGGGGTACAAAGAGGTTAAGGTTATGAACATCCCCAATTTACAAATTAGAAAAGGAAGACTCAAAAAGACATAGCCCATCACTATAAAAATGACAAGCAGGGATGGAGAATTTGAGACTGGATCTTCCTGATGTCCTTGGTCACCAGCACCAAGGACCTGTTACTCTGTGAGGCTCCATCAGTCAAGTCACACTTTGCCAGTGACTGCTGCCTACCTCCCAGGCATCTAGCTCTGCCCAACCCCTTCCTGTTCCCTCCAGGTATTCTGTGACTTGGAAACCAGTGGAGGTGGGTGGACTCTCATCCAACGCCGTGAGAATGGCAGTGTAAATTTCCAGCGGAACTGGAAGGACTACAAACAGGTAAATCTGTTTCCCTGGGAGAGGGGCTTTTCAGCCTGAAATCTGGGGCCAGAGGGGGCTGTGGTTAGGGGACCCCTTCCCAGAAATAATCAGGCCACTTAAAGCCAGCCATTCTCACAAAGACTTGCCCAGCACACATTTAATGCCAGGAACTCCATCACTTAAAGTTGAAACCCCTTTCTGAAAGTTCTGACATATGTTTAAGAATAAAAATTTAATTTTATTTTAATTTTTGAAAAAATAACGTGTATATATTGCTTTAATTTTTTTAAAGAGACTATAGCAGAAAAATAAATCTCCTCTAGCCACCACTGGCTACCCCGATTAAATTAATTTCCCTGTCTTGCACAAATGTGTGACTACATCTGTGGGAGAGATGTTCTAATGTGGAATTACTGGCTCAAAGGCCACGTGCCCAGTTGTCTTCCAGTTTTTTAAATTATAGTTTGAATAAAATATTTTTTGGAAAGCTGACTTAAAAGTCTTTAAAGTTTTCAAAAGCCAAAGAAATAGAAAAAGAAGCCTATAAGGAAATACAGTCATATTTTTACTTGTGAATTGCCTGTTATTTATTTGATAAATACAGAAAAAAAATAAATACCAAATTATGCTGGGAGTGTTCTTTAACTAATTGGATTCAAAGTAGTTATTAAAATGGCAAATAGAAATAGGGTACTCAGATACAGAAATACACAGAAGAGTGCCAAATGTTGGCCATTACGCTAATCAGTAGCCCTGCGCTGCAAAGTGGGGAGTGGGGATTAGATGTGCCTTGTCCTTGGTGCTGAATCATTGTTTTAGCCCAGGGTGCTTAACAACAATAGTTTCTGGCAAGGAGCCTTCGTAGCACTGTGGATAAAGTGTTCAACTGCCATCTGAAAGGTCAGTTTTGAACCCACAAGCCACTCCAAGGGAGAAAGATGTGGCAGTATGTTTCCATAAAGATATTCAGCCTTGGAACCGTTCATGGCAGTTCTACTCTGTCCTATAGGATCACTTGAGTGTTAGCTGACTCCACTTGGTTTCTCATCACCCTAGGATACTGATGTCGCCTATTAATACAACATTCTTAGCTTTGCATTTTCTTGTTGCTGAAATTTTTTAATGAATACCCAGAAACTGAACAAAGTTTTCTCTACTCGTGTATATAGCTGATGCATTTTTATTTAAATTTTTTTTTTTTTTTTTAGACTTAACATACATACAGTTCAGAGCACAACTCCTAAGTACAGCTTAGTGGATTTTTACATATGTGATCACCACGTGACACACAGCACTTCTAGCACCCTCAGTCCCCCATTGGGCCCCTTCCCAGTCAATACTCCCGAAAGATGATCACTACTCTGACTTCTACCACCATAAATTAGTTTTGCCTGTTCTTGAACTTTATAGAAATGTGATTTCAATTCATTTTAACAGGGCTTTACATTTACAAAAGCCTTAATTTTTTTCTCCATGAGTTGTTGGGGAGCCTGCCCACACACTGTAATTATGAATTTGATCATTAGACAACATGGTTTTGGACAAATGGTCCCAGAGCCTGGCACAGCCCAGCTCCACAGCCAGGGACATAGCCTCCTGCCCTGGACCTCAACCTACTCCCACCCTTCCCACCCCACAGGGCTTCGGCGACCCGGCTGGGGAGTACTGGCTGGGCAATGAGTTGGTACACCAGCTCACCAGCCGGGCAACCTACTCTCTGCGTGTGGAGCTGCGAGACTGGGAAGGCAATGAGGTCTACGCCCAGTACGAGCATTTTCAGCTGGGCAGCGAGGGGCAGCTGTACAGGTGGGCTCGGGACCCAGGCTGGGAGGTTGCGGGTGGGCTGCCGGGTGGGTTGGCAGGTGGTCTGGAGTCCCCCAGCTAGCAGCTTCATAGTCTGCACCAAAGGTCAGTCCCTGGGCGTCTCCTTTTTCTACCATCTGTCCCCCATTTGGGCGGACGTCACGGGATCTGGAGGCGGTCGGTTAGCACTCAGCAAGTCCCAGCCACTGGGTGGGGTGGAGAGAATGTCGCTGACGCCGCCATGCCTTGAACAGGAAGGGGCTTTCCAAGGTCAGTCACCCCGAGGCAGATGCCCAGAAGGAGGATGTGACTTGTGCAGTCTGACCTGTGCCCTGCAGGAGGTGGAAAGTTCCTTGGGCTGGGAGTTGGGAGACCTGGACCATCTTGGCTCTGCCCCTGCTTGCTTTATGACCTTGGGCAAGTCAACATTCTTGCTTCTCTGCTTCTAGCCTCTCTTCTTCAATGGCAAGATAGGCTTAAATGTGAGGACATTGTAAAACAAGCAAGGTTTCCCAACCCTTCCTCAGCCTGGTATTTGGGAAAAGGAGTACTTATTGAGGACCTACCCTGTTCTGGTAGTGTAGTGGTTATGAATCGGGCTGTGAACCTTAAGGTCAGCAGTTCAAAACTACCAGTCGCTCCATGGGAGAAAGATGAGGCTTTCTGCTCCTATAAAGATTTACAGCCTCGGAAACCCTGTACAGGGTCACTATGGGTGGGAACTGACTCGACAGCACTTAACAACAACAACCCTGTTCTAGTCATATCACACCATTTCACTCTCTACCATGAATATCACTGTAGCTACTGCAATCATGTAGGAATGGAGGCTCCAAAGCTTAAGGCTTACAAGTTACAACCTGGATTTGAACTCAGCTCTCCCTGATGCCAAAACCACTGGCCTTCCCACTACCTACTGTTGCTTCTCTGAGAAACTTGAGAATCTTTAAGATAAGTCTGATCCTGGTGATCTTTGAACCGGACAGAGTTGGACTCACAGACTCACTCCTGGGGTCACAAAGGATATCCCATGTCATCTGGTTCTTCATGTGATGCTAAATCCCCCACAGCCCAGGCATCCCCCAGCCTTGCTAGACTCCTTAACCCCAATCCAAACCAAACCCACGCTGTCGAGTCAATTCCAACTCAGAGTAACCATGTATAGGGTTTCCAAGGCTGTCAATCTTTACAGAAGAAGACAGTCTCATCTTTCTCCCTTGGAGTGGCTGGTGGGTTTGAACTTCTCACCTTGTGATTAGCTGTCGAGTATTTATCCTCTAGCACCGCCAAGGATCCTTTTGATAATGACAGTATTGTTGCTGTTGTTGTGTGCTATCAAGTCAGTTCTGTCTCATTGTGACCCTAAATGGGGTTTCTGACAGTGACTGGTGAGTTTGAACTGCCGATCTATGGTTAGCAATCCAGTACTTATCCTACAGCCCCACCAGAGCGACTAGACTCCTAGCAATCTCCAAATTACTCTCTGTTCACTTTGTAACTCATTCTACCTCTGGGGACTATCTCCTTCTCATATTAAATACCCATGGTGCCCTCCACTGTGTGATTCTGACACCACTCCTTATGGGACCCACCCCAACCTATAATGTCCCCCTTAAAATGCAATGCCAAGCTGAGTAAAACATCTCTGGGTCTATAATTAGGCAAGGGCTGAACTGCTACTCCTCAGAGCCAATCAGTGAGTAGACACTTGTTTCTGCCACTGACCACCAAAGCCAAGGTTTAATTCCTGACCTCACCCCTATCTCTCTAGGTGACCCTGAGCAAGTCTCTTTGCCTTCTCATCTGTAAAATGGGTGTCATAGACATGCCTACTTTATTCAGGCATAAATATCTCACTTGAGTGAGCTATTGGACATATATAAATGTTGTTGCTGTTAAGTGCCATCAAGTCTCTTCCAATTCATAGCGACCTGTATAGAGTTTCCAAGGATTGACTGCTGGGTTTGAACCAGCGACCTTATGGTTAGCAGTACAGTATTTATCCAACAGCATAGAATCACCTCAGGGTTTCCACAACTGCACATTTTATACAACCAGACTGCCACATCTTTCTCCTATAGAGCAGTTGGTGAATTTGAACCATTAACCTTTCTGTTAGTGGTCAAGCACTTAACCATTGTACCATCCGGGTTTCTTATACAAACATATATGCCAAGTCCACTGCCATTGGATCAATCCTGACACATAGTGACCACACAGGACAGGGTAGAACTGCTCCTGAGTATTTCCAAGACTATTTTTATGGGAACAGACTCCAAGAAGTGGCTGGTGGGTTTGAACCACAGGCCTTGTAGTTAGCAGCCTAATGCTTAGCCCACAGTGCCATCAGGGCTCATATACATATATATTGTTAAGTATCATCTTGTCAATTCCAACTCATAGTGTATAGGGTTTCTGAGGAGCAGCTAGTGGATATGAACCACTTCCTAAGGTGATACTGGTGGTGATGTGCCATGGAGTTGATTCTGACTCATAGTGACCCTGTATATATAATTTCTGAGGCTGTAAATCTTTACAGGAGCTGAAAGCCTCATCTTTCTCTCTCAGAGCACCTGGTAGACTTGAACTACTGACCTTGAATTTAGAAGACCCACTATGCTATCACAGCTCCTTATATTGTTGTGTTCTTAAATGCCGTTGAGTCAGTTCCTACTCATAGTGACCATGTATAGGGTTTCTGAAGATCAGCTGATGGGTTTGAACAGTCGACCTTGTGGTTTGCAATCCAGTGCAGTCCACACCAGGAATCCAGGCTCCTTATGCTGTTCCATGTTGTCATTACTGTGGTTGTCAAGTGCTGTCAACTTGGTTCCCACCCATAATGACCCTGCATAAGGTTTCCAAGGAGCAGCTGGTGAACTTGAACCACCGTCCTTCCGGTTCAAACCAACTTTGCAGTCCTGTGCATTAACACACAATGCCACACCAGGACTCCCATGTTGTCATACAGGAATTCAATGTGCTGCCTCTGGCTTTTTATCTGAGCTGTTCGTAGCTCCAGACTGTCGTTTCTGGTCTCAAAAGACCCTTTACAGAGCCTAAGATGATGATAATTGTCTACTGTGTCTGGCATGGCTTGATGCTGATCATTGGGATGTGTCCGGAGGTGGGTGTGCCCACAAGGCAGTCTTGTGCCACAGTGAGATTAAGAGGAAAGCACAGATGCACCAGAGCTGGAAGAGATGCTTATGCAATTAGGGGAGGCTTCCTGAAGGAGGTGATGTCTGCAGTGGGTCGGCATTCCACAGACAAAGAGAAGCTAGGAAGGCCAACCCAGGCAGAGGGAGTATTCTGAAAAAGAGATCGAGTTTTCATCCAGCATGGAAAACAAAATGGGGTCCACAAAAGATGCTGGGACCATTGGAAGAGGCTGCTGCCCTGACTCAGGAAAAGCCTACGAGGCTGAGATTGGAGAAGGTTAGACTTGCAGAAGGTGTCTGGAAACTGCCAGAGGAGAGTCAGAGGCAGAATGGTAGAACAGCTGCCAGTCCTCTTCTTCCACCCCATAAGGTGAACTGCCTGGTGAGGTGGGGAAGATCCCCTCAGGAAGCCCAGAGATAGGACAATGTGGGCAGTCAGCAATGGGGGTGCAATAATGAGGTCTTCTGGAGACCGGCTGGACGCTCGCAGAAGCCCACAGAGGAAGTGGCCAGCAGGGTGGGGTGGTGGGAGGGACAGACAAGTCACTGGCTTATGCAGCCCAGTCCCTCCCAGAAGCCCCCAACACTCCGTGTAACCAAGCTCAGAGGATGCCTGTACCAGCCATGTGCGAGGGGCGGATAACAAGATGCCCTGGAATGTGTTAAGCACTTAGCATGTGCCAGGCACTGCTCTGCACACCACAGTGAAGTCATCAAGTCACAGTGACCAAGCAAGATTGTCACTGTGAGTTATTACCATTTTAGAAGATGAAGAAACTGAAGCTCAGAGAGGTGAAGTAATCTGCCCATGGTTACCCAGCTAGTTAGTAGCAGAGCTGAGGTTTGAGTCCACGCATTCAGACCCCAGAGGTCATGGTCTTCATAATCACACAGACCCAGTTCTGCCTGCCTCTCGGTCTGTCCCAGCTGTCAGCAGATGTCTGTGTGGCAGATCTGGGGGTGCCCCGAGGGACAGGCTTCCTGGGGGAGGTGTGGGTGCCTGATAGCCAAAGTTTCCCCAAGGACAACCAGTGCTGAGACTCAGCTTGGAGAAAGCATCCTGGTAGGGTCTGTCCTCAGCACCCAAGAGCACAGCCTCACTCTGACTCGCCCCTCTCCCATTGTTTCCTCTGGTGGCCCCCAGGCTTTCCCTGAGTGGTTACAGTGGCTCAGCAGGACGCCAGAGCAGCCTGGTCCTGCAGGGCACCAACTTCAGCACCGCCGATGCAGACAATGACAACTGCCATTGCAAGTGTGCCCAGATGCTCTCCGGAGGTGGGTCACGGGCTCACCTAGCTGGGCCCTTCCATTCCCTCCTAGACCCTTATGCTCCCAGAGACTGTCCCAAGGTGGGTGCAGGCCAGGACCTTGTTCACCTGCAGGCTCACCTTGCCCACCTGTACCTACCCCCACCAGCCCCTGGAGGACCCCTCTGAGTTCTCACTTCCCCCTAATGCTGGTGCCACCAGTTTCCCTCAAAGACCAGTCTCAGATAATACTGGGAGTGGGACCCAGGCAGATTGGGCACCCTAGGGAGACACAGTGCCTGATGGGCCCCACCACAGGTCTAAGGATTCCCCATCCCTATGGACTAGGATAGAGGAGACCTGGGTAGCCCCCACCAACTCTGGTCCAGTCGGGGTTGTGGGAAGGAAGTGGGAATGAAGGTCAGAGAGTAGGGGATGGGGATAAGCAAGAGACACAGAGTAGTAGGGAGATAGGAGAGAATTCCTGAGACAGGACACCAGGACTGACATAGAGACAGGAGGAGACAGAGAACAGCATGGACAGAGGACAGAGAGAGAGATGGAAAGAGCAAAGACAACTAGAGGAGGACAGAGATGCATAAAGTGTGTGAGAGACAGGGCAACAGAGACCCAAGACACAGAGAGACGGGGGCCATCCAAGAGAGATGGACACAGAGGGAGATGGGTACACACACAGAGACTATGAGAGAGAGCGATTAACCCGTATGTGAGACACTCAGAGAACAACAGAGACCATCCGCAACCAATGGGGAGAGTGTGATGGAGACCATGCTGGGGAGCAGGAGAGGCAGAAGGGGACAGAGAGCTGGAGAGAAGGTGAGGAGAGGCAGAAGGTCCTACCCGAGAGGGGCAGCTGGAGCCCAGTGCTGCCCTCAGGAGGTCTTGACTGCATCTGGAAGACCTCCCCCAACCCCACCATCTGCTCCCACTTCAGCCCTGTCCCCAGCCAGCTGGCTACCCAGAAGAGGCAACAGCCCTGAAAAGTCCTTGTTCTGTTCTGGGTAGAGGGACTGCCCTCACTCCACTGGCTGGGCTCCCATTCCCCTTTCTGTTTCCCCTCCTCCCACCAGGGTGGTGGTTTGATGCCTGTGGCCTCTCGAACCTCAATGGAAACTACTACTCACTCCACCAACACATGCGCAAGCTCAACGGTATCCGCTGGCACTACTTCAAGGGTCCCAGTTACTCCCTGCGAGCCACGCGCATGATGATTCGGCCTGTGGACCTCTAGTGAGCAGTGTGCTGGAGGCGGGACCAGAGGTGGAGCAGACCTGGTATCCACCAGGCCCCTGGACCAGAACCTGGACACAGCGCCAGGTTCTTGTCTGGGATACACACTTAGCCTTCTGAGCCAGCGCATTCTCAAGTTGTGAACTGATGGGTGCCTGAGGGTGCCTGCTTCTGCAGTATTCCTTGTTCCTCCTGCCTCTGCCAGTGTGATGGCCACATACTATGAATGAGCTCAGAACAGACTCAACCAGGCTCCTCAAATGGGCACGTGACAAACAGTGGGATTTCAAGCAGGTGGGAAGATATTTACAGGCAGAAAGCTGCCCAGATAAGGCATAGATCCTGTCCCTGGGGCTGTTAGGAAGCCCATCTCCTATTTGAAGTCTGCAGTGAGCTTTCCTAGACTTGAGATGCCCTTGAACTTTCAAGACTGGAGGGACTGCACATACCCACACACCACTGGAAGTAAGAATCCTCCCCCAACTCCACACTGTCTGGGAGGGCCTCCAGCCCCGTATTTCTAGAGTGTTCCATAGGCGGTAACTAGGGCATTGAAGTAAGGCTCCCCAAAAGTACCTGTGGTCAAGTAAGAGAGGGAAACACTGCATTAAACCTAAGTGAACAAGCACTTGTGGAACTTGTCAGAACCTTTGATGGGGTCATGTGCATTGCAACCATCCACAAAGGGGCCAAGTGGACAACTTTCCCTAAACACACTTATCTGTAAATGGGTCTTGTTGGTCCTGGAACATCCCTCGGGGTTGTGGAGATCCTTGGAAAAGCTGGTCCTCTCCCATCATGAGGAGCTGCCCCAGGGCCCCATCCCCCGTCGCCAGCTGTGCTCACCCTTTCTGGTTATAAGGGCCATAGTGACCATCTCAAACAGCCTCTAAAACAACTAGAAGGATGCTTTGGGTCAAAACAGAAAGACAGCATCCCTGAGGCAAGGGCTCATACTCAGCTTTTCTGTCTATGCAGTGCAAGAATGTCCTCCAAGGCTCCATCTAGCCCCAGGAAGTCATATTTCTGCCTGTGGCCAGCCCTCAGCATTCCTTCTCACCCAGCTTACCCAGACTCAAGTACAGGGACTGTTGGGGGCTGCCTACACTTTTTGTAGGCCACCAATCCAGAGTCTAGACCTTTCCTCCAAGCCTCTAAGCCAGAACCTCTTGTCCTGACCTATCCAATAGCAATGCTGTATCTAGGAGTCCAGAGACCTTGAGTGTGGGAGCCACTCACTGACACTCTGCCGCCCCCTGCCCAGCACCATGTCACCCTTCTCAGCCCTGATGGGCCACCACAAACCTGTCGTCATTGATTAACACTCTGTCTTCAGAGGGTCTCTTGAATGAGATTGATTCATCAGAGAAGGGAACACTGGTCCCCTTCCTCCCATCCTCCTACCTGCTGGGCCTCAACACCTGAGTCCAACTCTCAGCCAGTCTCCTGAGTAAATCTTCACAGGCTTCGAGGGCAGCTGCACTTTCCTCCTCATCAAAGGATGTGGTAGCTAATGGTGGCATTTCAGGCAGGATGGAGAATGTGTTTAGGGGTAGGTTGCTGCCCATAAAGTTCAAATCTCTTTGCCCAGGACACGTGGACTCAGCATCTGTTACATGCAGTGCGGTACCATGGGGAGAGCTTTGGAGTCATTTCAGCCTATTCCAGCTCTAGGCCTTAAGCCAGGGGCTCAGCCTTGAAGATCACACCAATTGTCAAAACCTCAATTATCTTGCCCATAAAACAGAGATGATACTAATCCCTGGACTGTGGCAAGGAGGAACTGAAGTGAAGATGTTGTTGTTGTTGTTAGGTGCCATCAAGTCAGTACCGACTCATAGCAACCCTATACACAACAGAACGAAACACTGCCCGATCCTGGGCCAACCTCACAATTATTGCCATGCTTGAGCCCATTGATACTGCCACTTTACCAATCCATCTCGCTGGGGGTCTTCCTCTTTTTCTCTGATCTTCCACCTCGTTGTTGTTAAGTACCATGAAGTCGGTTCCGACTCATAGTGACCCTACAACAGGGTTTCTGAGGCTGTAAATCTTTATGGGAGCAGAAAGCCTCATCTTTCTCCTGTGGAATGACTGGTAGTTTCAAACTGCTGACCAAATATGATATCCTTCTCCAGCAACTGGTCCCTTCTGACAATATGTCCAAAGTAAGAGAGACGAAGTTTGGCCATCCTGGCCTCCAAGAAGCACTCTGGCTGCACTTCTTCCTTAGAAACTTCGTAATGCCTAATAAATGTTCCCTCCCAGAGAGGTGACTGGGGACTAGCTCATGCCACCTCTCTCCTAACCCAAGAGGAAGCATGCATTTTAGTTTTGTAACTGAAGCCTCTCAGGCCATATAGGCTGTGTGCTGGAGAAGGAACCTGCACGGTACAGTGGGTTAGCATTGGGCTGATAAGCAAAAGGTCAGTGGCTCAAACCCACCAACCATTTCCATGGGAGAAAGATGAAGCTGTCCAGTCCCGTCCAGATGTACAGCCTTGGAAACCCTAAGGGGCAGTCTTACTCTGTCTTAGGGTCACTATGAATCGGAATGGATTCAACAGCAGTGAGGGGAAGGGGGTGTGGTATGTGCTGGAGAGAAATGGGTGAAGCCGAGTCCAGGGACAGAACTCTTTCAGGTAAAGTAAAGACCCAAAGCCCATCGGTTCTTCCTAAACTCAGTTTCCTAAAGAGGCCAAGAAGTCAAGATAGGTGCCTCTCAGACATCTCTTCTTAAACATTCATCCTTCCTACTTACCTTCCTCCTGCCACCATGCCAGGACCTGAGGTTCAGATGATAGAAACCCTATCTGAGGATTAAGTCACATAACTAGGAAGCCTAGGGGTGAATTCAGGCACAGTTAGATCCTCATCTTGGCCCTGCCATCTTCCATGTCGACTTTGTTCTCAGGCTCTCTCCTGACTGCATGGCTCCAACAGTCCCAGCTCACATCCTCCTCTCAGCTCAGCATCCCTAAGGCAGGCCTCCCCTGACTCTGTGGTCCTGTGTCCACCCCTCATCTTATTGCTGCACAATCTGACCGACCAGACCTGGATCCCATGATCATACCTTGAACTATCAGGTGTGGTTAATCTCAGCTGAATCATGTAGACTGGCAGTGGGAAGACTGAGGCACTGTCTTTAGGAGGTGGGGATCCTGGGCAAGCAAGAATAGGTATACATTCCACTTTTCCTCCTTCCATCTGTCTGACTCCCAGCTCTTCCTCTCCATCTCTGACCCCTGCCCAGCTCTGGATCCCATCTGGAAACCAGACCTTGGTTAGCAATCAGCCTGTTTCCCCATCTGTGCAATAAGGAGGCAGCTCCTGCCAACCTCTAAAAGCCCTTCAGATAGTGATGTTGACTCTCAATGGCTGAAGACAAGACCAGTCACAGAGCACTGGGGGGCAGCAGCGCCCTAGGGTAGGAGTGGGGAGGACATGAATGGTGTGGCCCAGGTTGTGCTCCCTGAGGACCACAGCTCTCAGGAACTGGCTTCTGGGGTCCCTGTACGTGCAGGTGCCCCGACAGGACAGTATACCTCTCCCCACATCAGACAAGCCTCCCCCATGTTAATGGTGATAGAATTGGGGCTCAGAGAAGGGGCATCACCACCCCCAGCACTCTTGCAGCTATCAGATGTCCTTGTCCAGAACTGTCTTGGGGCATCTTGACACCGGCCACAGAAATGCTGGCTTGGTGCCCCCTCCGACTATATACAGGGCTGAAGGAGTTGTCTAGTCTCTGATGGCCAGTCTACCTTTCCCGCTGGAGCCAGATGAACAGAAGACATTGTTCTAAGACTTCTACGGAGGAGCAAAATAATTCCCAGCAAAGGCAACTTCCACACCAGAGGAAGGAGTTTATGTGCATACCCCAGAGACAGGCAAGATAGAAGGGACCCCATTGAGGAAGGCTCTCCCATCAGCATCAGGCTGTTGGGAGATCTGACCACTTTTTCCAGGTTCTTCTCCACTCGGTATCTGTGTGGGCCTTTATCTCCCCAGTTAAAGATGCTTTGAAAGTCTGTGTTGCCTTGGCAACACCAGCATCTTTGGATGCAGCAGCCTTTCAGAGAATGGAATCTGGAGTCTGTTTTTCTTGCCTTAGATCAAAGTGAGATTGTGCAACTCAGGCTCCACTGCGTGCTGAAGGCCAGGAGATCTAATGGCTTCCAATGTCTGACTCATTCTTGCTCTACCCTGGGTACCTGTCTGTGCCTCTCTTTCCTTGTCTGCAAAATGGGAAAACTGTGCTCCAGTCACAGGGAAGTCAGAAGAGTTCAGTGGGTTGGCACATAGTTGTGCTCACTCATTCACACACACATGTATCTACTCACTCAGCAAATGTGTATGGAGGACCAGGCTGGGCCAAGGCCTGACTTGGTGATGGGGACAGAGCAGTGAACAAAGCACGTGTCCATGTACATGTCTACATTGCTTAACAGGCTAGAGGGAGACGGTGACAAAAAAACAAACATTACAAACAAACAAAAGATTAGAATGAGAAAATTACAGAGGATCTAACTCAGACAGAGCATTCAAGGAAGGCATCTGTCAAGAGGTGTTGTTTAATTGAGGTCTGAAAGGTGAGAAAGAGGTAGTCAGGTGAAGAATTGTGGGAACAGGAGCAGCAAGTGCAAAGGCCCTGGGGTGCTCAGGAGCTTGGTTTATCTGAGGATCTGCACAGAGGCCAGTGTGACTGGAGCAGAGGGAGCAATGGGGAGGGTAGGGGGAGAGCATGCCTACCCATCAGGCTCTGAGCCCCAATCCAGCCACTGCGTGCCTGACTCACCATGGATGTGGAGCCACTCCTGTCCCTCCACGTCCTGAGCTTCCCGATCTCAAACATGCAGGAAATCAGCTCCATCTGAAAGTCATATGGATCAATCTGGGTCAAGGGCCTGCTGTGCCCACTTCCCTGAGTAGGTACCACTGACGGAGTCAGAAAGAGGAGGAGAAAATAGCGTCTCTGCTCTCAGCCTAAATGAGGAA